TAATTGTTTCTATTTTTGAATACTTATTTAATTGTTTTAATATGATAATATTTTCTAAGATCTACTGAATATACTTTATTTTTTTTTTTTAGATTTATTTAACAAAGCATATATCAGCATATTTGACTTAAAAAACCTGTTCTTGTTGCATATTCTGTTTTCTAAAGACTATTGGCTATGCTCAATTATATTAGCAAAAAATAAAACATTAGTTTCTTTATTAGTTGATTTTTCTTTTTGTTTTTTTAATTCTATATTTGTGTTTTCATTGCTTTTTTCTGTTTTTTGTAATATATTGCTTGTTAGTATTTTAGATTCATTAGCAGTTTGGGCTATTTAGTAATATGATGTAGTAATACTAAGATCTTTTATTTGTTCTTCTAGTATTACTAGTTCTTGCTCTATATCTCTAGAGGTGTTTTCTTCTATTAAATGTTGTTTCTCAATAGTAGTAGCTTAGCTTTCTTTAGTTTTAAACTGCTTTTTTATTTTATTTGTTTTCTTTTTTTTTTGGTATATTACTTCTTTGTTTATATTTGTATTGTATTCAAAAAAGTTTAGATTAAAGCTTATTAATCTAAGTTTTTCTGTTTACTTATCAATTATTTCTTCTTTAAGCCAACTTGTTTTTGCTAATCTTAAAATTTCTAATATTTGTCTATATACTAGCATGTTTTGAAAAATGATATGTTTTAGATTGTATATTACTAAATCTTTAGCAATATGTTTTATATTACTTGGGTTTTTTATAAGAGTTTTAAGAACTGTGTTTAAAATTTTACAATCTACATGTCTTTAATTTTTATCTTCTATTCCTTTAATATAAGATATAATATTTGCATTTTAATTTTTATTTATCAGTTTATATTCTAACATATTAGATTAAAATCTTTTTTTTTTAGTTAATTAATATCTAAAATTAAACTTTTTGTTATATTTGTTAGTATGTTATTAGTATTACATTACTAATTTTATAGTAATGCTTGTTATTTTTAATTAAATAATAAATCTTGTTTATTTGTTATTGTTTGTTGTTATTATAGTTATTATATATTTTATTTTTTTATTTTTTCAGAATAATGTTGATTTTTCAAAAATTATATTTTTAATACTAAAAATATTGTTGTTTCTTGTTAATATCTTAGTATAACTTTCTTTGGTTTCCAAACTCTATTATACTATATGTATTTTCTTTTAATATAGCTTTTTTATTAGTCTTCTAAAAGGTGTTTGCTAATCTGTTTTTCTGTTATTCTTGTATTTTATTTTTCTTGTTTTGAAATTAAGAATTGATAAGAAGAGTTGTTTAAAATTTTTTAAAAAAAAATTTACTAATTGTATATACTAAAGATAAATTACAATTTAATAAAACTATTTAAATTGAAAATTTAAAAACATTAAATAAAAAACTGTAAATAAAGAAAACATATAAGATAAATAATAATATAACATAATAATTATAACTTATATATGAAGTATATTATAATTTTTTTAATGATTATTTAAATCAAACTTTTTAAAAACTAAACTATAGAAAAACAATATAGTTAATATATTAAACTTTATAAAAAGTTTTTTAAAATACTATATATACATAGTTGAACATTAAAATAAAGTTAAAAAAGAAGTTGTAGTTTTGTAATAACTGTTTAAATACATTTTAAAACTATAAAAAAAGTAATTACTAAAAGCTAAAGTTTTTTTATCAAGTAAACAACAAGTTAGATATATTAGTTTTATACAATTATAAAACCTACAAGAAACACCTATAAAGGTCAAAAATTTATAAAAGTTACAAAGTTAATTTACCTCTTGTTTTTATTTTGTTTTGAATAAAATTTTGTAAAAAATAAGTAATTTAACTTACCTTTACCTAAAGATTAATATATAAAACTACCAAAATAGTCAGCAGTGTTTATTTTCTAAATGACTTTGTTAACAAAATAATACAGTAATACAAACATAACTATACATGTACTTCAAAATACTAAAAACCTAAAAATGCTACTTTTGAACTAACTAGTACTCTATACTGATGCTTTATGATCAAGTCAAAGTTTTTTCTTTTTTATATAATTTTTTGTTAAATAATTTAAATAAATTAAAAAATAGTAAAGTTATTTCTATTAAGTTTAGTTTATAATTTTTAAAATCCTAACACAAGTGTATAATTGTAACCATTTAATATTTGTGAATTACAAATTTCACATATTTACTTTTTTCTTGTTTATTCTTTTTTTTTTTATTTTTTGATTTATATCTTTTATCATTTATCCTTATATCTTTGTTTTGTTTTTTGCATAAAAATTTTTTTTTGTTTTTTGCTTTTTTACAAAAAGATGTCATCAGATTGATGATTTTCTATTGTAGAATAGCAGTCAGATAAGCAGTCTATCTCTAATTAGAATAATGTAACAGGCCATACTTAGATACCATTTGGGTAACCAAGTAATGCTAAATTTAAATATTAGAAAAATTCTATGTAATTTGTATAGTTTCAAGAATCCTAATAAAGTACTAGCATGACTGCTTAAGTTAAAAAAAAAAAATTATAACTTATATAAATAAAATTATAACTACAAATATTGGCTATAATCATAATGTATATATTAAATAAAACTAAATTAACACTATGTATAAGAAATATAAAGTTCTAGTAAGTTCCTGGATCAAGAATGTATAATAAAAAGATATCTTAAAAGTATGATTGATATCAGAAACATTCTAAGCAATTGTTCTGAGAATGTTTCTGTAATATGAATTAGGATTGCATTGCAAAAGGTTTAAATAAACAAGCAGGTATGGATGGATCTAGTGTAAACCTAGTAATAGACGGATTACTTAAATAGACACCAAAATTATACGTGTGAAGAATATATCCTATAATGTAAGAATACCCTTGGAGGTATTCGTGTCCAATATAATCCGAATAAAAAGTCTACTCCCAAAGACCGGACAAAAAACATATAGACAGAATTATTAAACAACTTTTTTTTAAAAAAATTTTACATAGAAACAATTGTTCTATTTTTGTTGACTTCCCCGTATGTAGCAATTTTACTCGCCATTATAAAGAGTAATAATTTAGTATTTTATTAGCTATTGCTATATATATTGTTACCCTGTGTTGATGTCGAGTAAATAACATGACGAAAAAATAGTTTCGGAGAAATGAAATGTGATCGGAAGCTTTAGTATGTGAGAATGCATGTAATACAAAATGCCTAATAACAGTTTTTTTTTTACTGAGATTTATCTATTAATGGGAATTTTAAGGCGAAAGTATGCTCATGTTCAGAAGGGTTACGGTACGATTCCCCGAAAACTTACCCTAAAGTCTATTTACCCGACATTACAGGAGGTGAAAATTTACTAATAAAATATACCTATAGCTAACTAAATGCTAAATTGTCATCCCTATGTGATATCGGGTAAATGGACTGTCGGGTAAGTAGTTTTCGGGGAATTGAGCGACAAGAGTATTAAACAGTAAATTTCGATCCCTCTTCTTATAGTTTAAAGTTACCATATTAGGTTACTCTCATGTTTAAATAAAGTATCTGGAGTCTATTAAACTATAGTCGATAAGTAAATTAACCCGAATCTGGCTGGTAGATTTCTTAGACTTGCTTTTAATAAAACTTCAATAGGATAGACATTACAACATTCGAAGTAGATTCATATGACGCGAAATACCTGAGATCGCCTTAATTAATTGAAAATTTAATAATTACAAACTTTGAATGAAAGTAGTTAGTTATCCGTAATTTACAAACACTCGAAAATTATTGATACAGTATCCCACCAGAGAAAAAATTATAAACTCTACGAATTACACAATATTTATCCGGTAAGATAGCATATACATTGTAATCTCATACACTATGCGTTCTCTTCTTCTTCCTCTTCTTCATCCATAATACTAAAAATATTTTGTCGTTGTTGCTGCTGCTGTTCCTCAGGGAATGTCACAGGTGTATCAACAAAACTGGTTATACTCTGATTATCATTGTCATTAGTATCCAAAACTTCAACATTCCCATTTAAATTTTCGTTATCTTTATATCTTGAGGTATTACTTCTTAATACGTTATCATCTAAAGGGGCCGTATCTTCCTCTTCTTCGGCAAGTAAACCTCGGTGTAATATAGAATCTTCGTCTGCTGATGTATTACGAGGTTCAAGTGCAAAATAATTGTTGTTCTTTGGTATTGATTTTTTGGAACGCCGATAGATAGCAAACACTATCGCAAAAATTATGCCTATTGTAATTATCTATTTATTGCACACAAAAATATTAAGTTGCGAAAATTTTTTCAAATTATGTATAAAATCGGATAAAATGTTACCAGAGTCCCCGTAGAAGGCCAAGATCCATTATTTCCGTCTGTTTTGGAATCTGTCAATGAATAGGTGATTTTTGAGTGTGAAAAAGTAAATTCGGACCAGAGCTAAAATTTATACACGTACCTTCGTCAGAAGCACTTTTATATAATGACTTATTTTGGTTTGTTGGGAAACCTTTCCATCAGAAAAGTGTAAATAATAGCTGTCATTTTAGAAAATAACATTTATTTAAAGGAATTTAAGTTATATACTTTGGCAGAGCGTTCCATAGCTTGTAAGAACCAATTTCAAAACATTGGCACGTTTCTTTTAAGAGAGTAATTAGGTGAACCTTTTGTCAATTTCGAAATGAATTTGCTTTTATACAGAATATTAATGTGAAGCTCACCATTTGAGGCTTTAAAATTTCTTACAATCTTGAGAATACTTTCCGACGTAATTTTGCACACCTACGTCGTGCATTTGTGGATTTACTGATAAGTATGTGACACAAATAGGTTATAAAAGAAACGCCAAAAATTCAACGCGAATATTAGTCTTTTAATGAGTCTCCAAATAACTACTTTCAGTTGTAAAGGAAAAAATAAGTTTTTATTTATAATAAAAAAAAGGCAAGGTCCTCAAATTAACAAATTGTCAGATATTAAATCAATATGACAAGTCTAAAAGACATTTCACGCAACATTATTTCTACCGTTAATTCTTCGAGTGCTGATGTTCAACCTACTATCGATCTTATTGATAATTTTATAACGACACAGGAATTTCATGCGGATCGTGAGAGACTTGATAAAATTAACAAATATTCATCAGAATTAATTTCCATATATAATTCTATTCAAGATAATCCACAAAAGTTTTACATATTTCTGAAATGCTTGCGAGCTTCATTGCCTATCTTGGGACCTGATGTAGTTATTCCCGATTGGTGTGATAGGATATTACTTCCGATTCTTAAGTCTTCACTTCAGCCAAAGGACATTATTGAAGAAGTCAAAGGAATAATCCGTGAAGTTTTAGTATGTGAAACGGATCGGGTGATAATATTTAGAAAGGAAATCCTTGAACTTTATTTAAATGAATCAAGTATGATTGGAAAGGCTGCTGGTGAAGGTCATGGAGTTGTGGGTGAACAAGTACATGCATTCTGGTGCCGTAACTTGGAAAATGTACTTAGGGGATTTGGAAGCGTGAAAACGAAGGTAGCGAATGTAACAATGAAATGTTGATATTTAAACAAAGTTTTTTTTTTTTTTTTTTAATAATAAAACTTTTATGATTCAGGATTTCTTTGTACTTTTGGATTCATATTTTGCTCAGAAACAATATCGGCTACAAATATTAAATCTACTTGGGGAATTTATTCAACGACAGGTTGGCTGTTTATTGTTCTTATAGCATTTTTTCAGAATAGCATCTTTAATTTCCTTCAATTCGTTTTGAATATGTATTTTAGAACCTTTTTTTTCTTTTTCTTTTTTTAATGAAAAAAAATTATGTTTAAATGTGTAGAGATTAAACATTCATCAGATTTTGGAGACTCCTCTTTTTGATTCATTACTTATATCGCTGCAGGTATTTAATAATTAGGACATTATTTTTGTCATAGTTATAACTTTCAACTAAAACTATTTTAAAATACTAGAGGGATACTTCTACAACTTTGATTTCTTTATCATTGACAACGCTCGTCATGCTCTTGCCTCATATATGTACATCCGTTGTCAATTATCTTCCACGCCTTTACATCGCCTTTACCAGGATTTTATGTTGGGATAAATATGACTCTCGATGTACAAATTTTGATGGTGAATTGATTGGAAGTGATTTAAATATTACCGAGGGGCGTGATATATCAAAAACTGATGCTGAATCCGACTGGGAAAGATGTGGCAAGTTTCTTGTTGTTGATGCAGGATAGATTGCATTTGTTCGGTATAGGTCGGAAATGAGAGTATGCTTTTTTATTTTAGTACACCTGTTGAACTTTTTTTCTGTTTTTTTTTTTTTTTTTTTAGACTCTACTTTCGATAGTATACCTTCAACACCACCAAATTGTTCACACCTTTTTACGATTTTATACGGAATGTTTCCATGTAGTACAGTTGAATTTTTAAGAAATCCAACAGCTTGGATAAAGAACATGAACCATATACCTTGCGAAGATATTGATGATGATGTCGTTAGATCGAGAAGTATGGTGCGATTCATGCCATATCTTCACATTGAATAGTTTTATTATTTATTTAATTGATTAAAAGAATTTATATTGTATTTTTTTTTCATGCTAATAGCCATTATTACGTCGTCATACATTTCATCCAAACTTCATTTTGAGCGATGCCCAAAGAGAATTATCTGACACTTCGCGTTGGATTAAACTTGAACCCGCCGATGTTGTTGCAGAATGTATTGGGTATGACATGGAAAACGCATCAACAAAGCATCAGATCAGTGAGTTGGAGGACTTTACAAAAAAGGCTCTGGAAGGGGTTGATTCTACAAATGTTGCAACGAAAACTACAAAGATTAGACGACCATCACAGGCAATATCAATACAAGAAATAATGGATGTTCATCAAGCTTTAAAAAGTGGTGTTGAAATTGTTGTTGGAGACGACCCATGGGTAGGTTAATTTTTCTATTTATATAAGTACATAATATTCATTAGTGACACTCATTAGTTAATTTATTCATTTTAGGATTCAAAGATAATTTCGTCAAATTCTATCAGTTCTACATCACCATCTGACCAAAGTTTAAGTGTGGCACAATCTTTTATGCCCTCGTCGAATGTACAAGCTAGTATCGCATTTCTCCAGCGTGAAATAATGTTACTTAGGAATGAGTTAAATTTTGAACTCTATCTTAAACAACAACACCTCCAACACATTGGCCGTCTTCATCGTGACCATGTGTTGGATATTAGTGCAGAAGCTGAGCGTCAAAATTTATATAACACATGTAAAAACTTAAAACTGCAATTAGAGAAAACCCAATCAGCCTTTAATAGACAGAGAGATGAGAATGCAAGCATAAAGAAAAAGCATGTTCAATGGGAAGATGAATTAAACGCTAAATTGAAAAAATATAGAGAGGAAAAAAAAGAATGGAAGACAGAGTTGGACAAAGTTGAAGAGCAGTTGAGGGAAGCCAAGGTTGCATTTTAATGCTAAATTTGATTTCTTAATAATTATTACTTTAACGAAATATAATTTAATAAGATAATTCTAACTATTATAAATACGGATATAGCTTACCATTAAAGCACAAGCGAAGCAGATTGAACATGCAAATGCAAGGTATATATGATTATATATATATTTAGTGCTGTTTAAAATATCTGTATTTGATTATTTAATTATTCTTCTTTTTAAGGAATTTTGATCTTGAGAACCATATTAAAGTATCTGAACCTCAACTTCAAAAATTAAGCGAATATGAAAATCGTATCGATCAATTAACGAAACAATTACTTCTTTGGTATTTTTTTTCATCGAACCTTTAGTAAATTCCAGTATATCTCATCAATACATGTTAAATCATTTACTTTTGTATATTTATCATTAGGGAAGCTGATACTCGTAAATTTCAAGAGCAAAAGTGCCACATGGAAATTCTTGTAGCACAGTGGAATAAAATGGAAATAATGTTGGAGACTAAAGAGAAAGAAATCAATCAGTTAAGAACGACAGTGAGGTGAATAACTATGGTCTATGATATCGTATCTAGTGTTACAAATCGTAAGTTGAAAAATCGATTAGTTGATTAATTGACAACTAATCAATCATCAATCGATTATTGCGGTTTGCAAATTGTGAAATCTGCAGAACATTAAAAAATATTCACTAAGAAATCATTTGATTGTTAGGTGATTTCTTCAAATTACTCGTCCATATTTATATATCACAAATCACCTAACAATCGAGTTTATTTTTTTTATTTGGGGTGTCAGTAGAAACCAAGCAAATTATTTTTAGTAACTTTTTACAAATTTTCTCAACAACTATTACACCAAACCTGATAAATTTTTTTTATAATTGAAATAAAATTTTTATTAAGTTTGGTTTACTAAAAACCATTTTCTTGGTTTCTACTGATAACTTCCGTTTTTTGATACCAATTTTTGCCAACCGCAATAATTGATTAAAGAATTATTGCGGTTTGCAAAATTTTGTAACCCTATGATTATTGTTTTATATTGTAGTCAAATTTGTTGATAAATTTGCCAACCTTATCATCATTATTGCACAATCGCAAAATCATAATTTCTACACGATCACTATTTGAAAAAAGATCAATAACCATAATTTTGCAAAGCGCAATTATTACTATAGCGATTTGCAAAAAGGTGTGACCCTATGATAACGTTGGTGGAGAACTTTTGAGGTTCAAATTGTCTATTAATCAGATATTCAACCAGTAATGTTTACATTTATTTTATAAATCTGTAAAACTCTCTTAGAATTGGAAAATAGCCTAATTTTCCGCGATTTTATGACATCATGATTGATTTGCAGATCATCAAAAATAAGAAATCACACGATTGTTAGGTGATTTCTTAAAAATATTCCGATATCGGAGTGTAAAATTCTTACATCGGAGTAATGTTTTTTGATCGGCAAATTTCACAATGCAACCCGCAATAATCAATTAATTAATCGACTAATTTAACGATTAATCGATTAGTTGCGACTAGTTGTCAACTAAACAAATAATTAACCAATTTATCGATTGAAAAATTTTTGGCGGTTTGTAACACGTTATATTTAACAGAACATTATGAATTTAAACATCATGTTTTTTTCAATACTTTAAGTTCGCAATCACTCGTCATTGATGATCTGAAAATAAAGTCGGAATCCTTGTCGCAAAATCAATCCGGCCAGGGGATAGCGCTAGAAAGACAGGTAATTTGGTATTATTTTAGATGATGTGGATGGGTGTGAATGTTTTATAATTTTATGATTGATTCCTTAAGATGCAGATATGGACTTTTGAGCGAGACAAACGGGATAAAGAATTAAAAAAACTAGAGACTGCTTATGAAATGGTAAAAAAACAAAATTGTGAATTGCAGGTATGTATGTATGCATGAATTTGGATAATTTCGTCAAAGAACTGATATATAAGCTTGCATTTATATCATATATTTGTCAGTCGCGTATCATTGAACTTACGGCTAAAATTAAATCAATTGATCCATCTAAGTCATGACCTAATCATCATTGTGTCATATTTGAGATCTTGTTTTTTATTGTACATTGTTGTTTAATGCAAAGAACGTTACGTATTTATTTATTTGTAAAGTTTGGATTCATATCTAAATGCGCCATATAAATAAATAGTAATAATATATCGTGAGATGTTTTTATAGTATATAAGTGACATAATAAACCTTATTTATAATCAGGTTATAAAATGCCATGATAATCACAAACAAGCAAATACATTTACTGTATATAATATAAATTATTTTGGGTGAATATCTTTAATTTGATTGGTTAACATTGTAATCACGGGCGCTTACGAAACGTGAAGAGATAGTCCTCCATATCTTTATTTTATCAAAAATCATCAAAAATTAACACTCATGATAACTAGATAACTAAATAATATACTATTTAGTAAATAATACTAAATATCATATATATATTAGTATTATACATTAGTGCTAAAGTATATAATATACATTTTATAATCTTTTTCTTGGAGGATCACTCTTTTGGAAGTTTTAGCATTGGCGCGCTCATTTAATGTAATTATAATCCAGTATAAACAGGCATAAATAAATATGTACATTTATGAAATGGTGCATATAAACAAACATTTAAAGAAAATTGACGCGATGTGATTATTTAAAACGCGATGTGACACGTCTTTTTAATAAGCACAAAAACAATAAAAAACAACATTTTACAAATTTAGAAAAATGTACTCTAAAAAGTAAGATTAACGCGCACCTGATAAATCACGCACTAGTTAATTGTGATTATTTGTGATTGCATATAAACAGCGCTTTTCCTGGCTTTCCAGTTTTTTTTTCTTTTTCAAAACTAACTTTCTCTATTTGTTATCATCATTATTATTATTTTTTTTTTATTATTAAAAAAAAAATCTTAACTATAAACTATGGCAAAAACTTCCTCGGCTCCTAAAACCAAAAAGGCTGCCAGCCTTCCTGCTCATCCAAAATATGAAGATATGATTCGAGGTAACTTTTGTGTGAAATTTTTTTTTTTTTTGTGTGAAATTATTTAAAAAACCGAAAGCGACGGAGAACGAAATTTTGATCTGCGAAATTATATAATATACTTGTTTTAATCAATTTATGCTTTACATTATTTTATTATACTTTATAATTTTAGATGCTATTGTCGCCTTGAAGGATCGTAAAGGAAGCAGGTAAATAATATTTTAGTTTAAGAAAAATGTTCTATTACGGTTTGTTTGTTTAACATGTTCGATTTTTTTTTTTTTTTTTTTTTTTTTTTTTTTATATTTGATTTATATTAGTCGTCAAGCTATCAAAAAATATATTCTTACTTCGTTCAAACTTCCCGATAATAATGTTACGAACAACCGCCTTCGCATCGCTATTAACAAAGGTGTCGAAAAAGGGTTATTTGCCTTTTACAATGGTATGCGTTATGATTATGATTTATTTATTTAATATATTTTTTGTTATAATTTTAAAGTGATAATACTAAGATAATATGTGTCCTGAAAAACAGGACCGAGTGGAACCATTAAACTTGTTAAAAAGGAACCAGTAAAGAAAGAAAAAAAAGAAGTCGAGAAAAAAGAAAAACCCAAGACGGCCGTTAAAAAGGAATCGAAACCCAAAGCCGAAAAGGTATATGTTATATCTAAGTCATATATATTTAAAATAACATTATTGATTGTTAATCTTTCAGTTTTTTATTATAGAAAACCAAGAAAGCGGCTCCCAAGAAGACTGCCAAGAAGGCTGTAAAGAAAACGAAGAAACCCACAACCAAAACGACCAAACGAACTAAAGCTGCCGCTAGAAAAGTCGGTGCAAGAAAATCTTCCACCAGAAAGAGAACTACATCTTAAATGAAATTTCTTTACTATTGGATTATATACATTTATATTTTTTAAATCCCCTCCTTTTTTTTTTTTACTTTTATGGGATTTAAAACAGTTCGAACGTTTTTTTTTTTTGATCTGTAATTATTTCAGTACAACTTTTATTAACAATAGAATTTTTTTTGTTTGTCGATCAATATGTACTTTTGTTATTGACACTTTGAATTCTTTTTTTTTTTTTATTTCTTTAAAACGTTATATACTTTTCGTTTTCTATATTTTTTCTTTTTCTTTTTTTTGCTATCATTTTATATTTCATATTCGTGTAAATAACTCGGTTTTAATTTTTTTTTTTCAATGAATATTATTAATAATTAGTATTTTGACGCTAAAATATTGATAATAAACATAAATTTTATTGCTTCAGATGTTTAATTTTTTCCGAATGATTTGTTTATTTTAAAATATATAAACGGGAATTATCACATCGATATTTTAAAACAAATAAATTTTAGTTTTAAAATTTTTTTTTATTTGCCTTTAAAGTAAAGTTTTTTTTTTTTTTTTGTAACAAACTTTAAACCAGAACCAGAATTAGAAAGATCCTTCTCCCTAAAACTCTCAAAAGTGACAAAAAAAAAAAAAAGCGAGGAACAAAAAGGGAAAATAGATGTGCACGTGAAACACTAGTCACTAAAAAAAAATGAATAAAAGTCAAAGTTCACAAGTTTCGTCCACAGCATAAATAATAAGTGTAAACAGCATTTGGATATCACTTTATTTGATAACCTCAATGTAACTTTCGGAAAAGGGAATGTTTTTAATTGACTTTTTAATTGGCTTAATACACGTCTCGTAAATCTTTTAAAAAACAAACGAGGATAGGAAAGATAAGAATAACGGTTTTATGATAGTGATAGATACTTATGTATGATAGATGATATAATAATAGAAAATATAGGGTAGGAATTTTTTTTGACTTTTTTTCGTATAAAGCTAGGAAGATAATTATGTCGTAAAAAATGGATATATATATAATGTTGATAGAATGTGGACGATAATCTAGATATATATATATATATATATATATTTTTTTTTTTTTTTTTTTTTAGAGAATTTTTGATTTAAACAAAATGCAAAAAAAAAGAAAACAAGAAATAGTAAAGGGGAAAGAATGAAGTATGTAAGAAAAAAAAAAATATACAACAAACATACTTATCATTAAAACATAGCCTGACAATACGCACCAATGATAAGAGTTTGTTTTCTGCCAGTCTATTTAACAATTGAAAAAAAAAGAAAATTTACAGATTTGGCAGTCTATGCGGTTCGAGAAATGAACGATGACAAATCAATACAAAGAAATGAAAATTCACGATCTTGGACAAAGAAATGAAATTCGCAAATTTCAATTGCCAAGTGATAATTTATATCGGTCAAATCTCGAAATTCTATGGTATATAAGTCTATGGGAAAATGCAAATGTTCTATGTATATATATATAAAATGTTGAGATTTATAAACACAATGAAAGCGAAATATATATATTTGGGTATTTGGGAGAAGGAAAAAAAAAAAAAAAGTTAAATACAGGAAGAAAATACACAAAAAAGAAGAGCAAAATTTGGTTTTTTTTTTCTTTTTAGAAGTGTCCAAGGACCTTTTTGATAAAAAGGTCGACCGAAGAAATAATCGGCCCGCACGAATTTCAATATATATATCTTTTTTATCTCGTTTAACGCAAGGCAACACCGACTTTGAATGAGGACAGAACCTAATCATTCCATCAACAATCCTTGTAATAAGATCTCATGATGCTTTAGGCCATTCTGAAACTCGGACAAAAGTTGCTGAGAATTACGCCTAGGCGTTTCAAGAGCAAACGCGTAATGTTGATCATGAGTTGATTGAGACTCATGGGAAGATGAAAGGCCAAATGAAGAATCAAAGACATTTTGGTTATAGGTAGGTCCAACACCATCAAAATCATTAAGGAATCCACTCTCTTCTTCAATAGGAGAAACTGGATAATGACCCATGGCCATTAAATCATAATCGTTAGCAGACATTTCAACAGATGGTGAAGAACATTGGAAAAAGGAAGTGGAAGGTGTAGTCTTCAAAATAGGAGCATCATAAGATGAATCAAGTACGAAACCATCATCAACAGGTATATTTCCACGAGCGCTTATATCCATTTGATTATTGTATAACTGGTTGAATTGATCCATATATATTGTCGGAGTAGAAGACAATAATAAATTACCGTTAACAGAACCATTAACAGAACCGTTAATAGAACCGTTATGAGGAACATGTGCAGCCTCATAACGTAAAGCAGATCTTCCAAGATGATTACCAGATTGGAAAGAAGGAGGGGACAAAGACGCAGGTGAACTTACAAAAGGAGAAAGCAAGGGAGTAGAAACGGTTGAGTCACTTGTCCAAGAACTAGCAGAGTCTACAGAAGAGGCTCTATAATGTCCGAAAAGGGCCTTTTTTTGTAAATGAGAAAAGAAAATATCATCTTGATCATCAGCACCTTCCAAACCCACGGAATATATATTCCGACCATCATCCGGATTTGAGTAACCATCAGTAAAAACAATTTTGGGGTCAGATTTTTTACGGCCATTAACTTTTGTTATAGCTTTGGTGTTGCCAGGAGTTTTCAAATTTTGCTTCTTCTTTTGAGGTTTAAACTTGTAATCGGGATATTTAAGCTTATGTTCTAATTTAAGTTGCTTAGCACGTTCTCGCCAATACTCTTTGACATCTTCAGGTTCATTATTCCACATATTAGCAGCATGAATCGATACAACTTTATTATTCATACCGGGGTTTTCAGCCAAAAACTTTTCTTTTATATGTTCACGATAGGCCATGAAACAATTTTTAGGACGAGGGATATAGTTCTTATCAGCTTTGCGTTTTCGATAAGCGGACAAACGCGTTGTAGTTGTTGTGGTAGTTGTTGTGGTAGTAGTAGTTGTTGTTGTTTGTTTTGAGTCAATAGAAGATGAAGCTTTACATTTTGGAATATCCATCGGTTTAGAAGCATTGCCCGGAGTGGAAGAAGTAACCTGAGTTTCGGAAGTAGAAGTCGTATGTTCATCTTCAAGTTTCAACGGAACCAATAATACGTCATAACCCCTTGGCACGTGATACACATTATAATCAGGGTCGGAAATTGGTGAATGAGGAGCAGATGTATCTGAGGAGTTGGGTGACCATGAAGCATCATCCTGTTCCTGTTTAAAGTAGTCCAAATTCGTGGTTGAGCTCATTGTGTATTCTGGTTTAATGAAGATAATTAAATGGTAAAATAAAATAAAAATTAATAATTAATAATAATAATAATAATAATATTAATAATGATAATAATTATAATTATAATAAATTATAATAATAATAATTATAATAATCATTATTATTATAAATAAAAATTTGAGCGGGAAAGAACCCGGAAGTAGAAGTTAAAGAAACAAAGAAAGAATAACAAAAGAAATAACTTTTTAAGGCAACATACCGGATGCAGTTTCCTTTTACAATAAATTCCCTTTGAGAAAAAAAAGGACGTATATTTCTGTTGGTCAGGAAATTTCTTTGTTTGAAGAGGAACAATAAAGACAAAAAAAAAAAATTTTTTTTTTTTCTGACAAAGTTGTCGAGTAAGAGCGAGATAAAAAAAAAAAAGTCAGGTTGTTTATAAAGTATACGTTGATTGCTCACAGAGCGACCGACGAATTTATATATATATATATATTTGTCTATTTAATGTCGGAAGGACAAAGAGTTTTTATGGATAAACTGAAAAAAGAAGAGAAGAAAGAGAGGAAGAAATGAACGCAGGCGAAAATTAGTGGGGTAAATATAATAAAATGAGGGACCAAGTCACCAAGAAATTAGGGGCGATGTCTCTGGTAAGTGGATGATGGTGCGATGTTAGATGGAGAAATGATTGGCCTATATCTGGAAGGTTGTGTGAAAGCAACCGTAAAAGGTTAGTCATTTTCCAACATATTTGAATTACTTTAAATCGGAGAACGAATAAATAAGTTTGCATGGTTTAAGGGTTATTTCTTTGGAACCTCTCACAATCCGTCCTCTTTCGAAACACAAATATAAATATTTGGCAAATATTTATTTTTTTTAATGAAAAAAAAAAATAGAGAAGAATATCACATAGCAATCGTCACTTTATTTCCGCAGCGATTAAAATTTTTTTCAACCGTTTGATTTGTTCATAATTTAATTAGACATTTAATTAGCGTATATATATATTTATTAATGTTAATTAGATGTTTAATTAGACATTTAATTAGATAATTTATATCATATATTTGATATATTTTAATTAATTACGTTAACAATTAATGATAATGGAAATAACCATTTTTAACCTGAGAAATAGGTTTTCAGGACACCTTTTAAGTAGGGAAGACATACGTGAGTATCACATATCATATTCGGATGAACAAAAACAGTCATGACGAGTTAAATATTTCATCAAATTGAAGAGAATCGACCCAAAAACCAAACAGATCAAGGGTTAACAGAGATTGGTGTATGTAAAGTGTACCATGAATTAAGCAGCTTAAACCTAATTTGGTTAATAGTGGTGATGATTATAATTCGAAAATTAGTCGGTAACTGTGGACGTTAACCGGTGATCGTGATATAATGTTAAAGATCGAATATCATTTGTCGTTCTTTTTTGGAAATGTTTCGAGTCTTGGATAAATGACGTGCGTTGTGTTGATATGTTGAGCAGTAATTCTCACATGTGCGATGACGATAAATTTTTGGTGAGACTGAGCGTACGTACGTACCTACGTAGGTTGAATACAAGTTCAGACAGGTTACGCATGGTGTTGTCGTTTCGTGTTTGGTTATCAATAGAGCACATGGGTAAACCACTGAATTAAATTAATATAGGCTAAAATGGTAAATTTCTTATATTACCGTTAGGTATCACCTTTATCGATGCGTTCGTCGCATACGAGCGACGAATCTTCCGTTCGATGTTAAATAATTTGCTGCCTGTACATAATTTAATCATAATAATAATTATAATAATAATAGTATAATAATACTATTGATAATAATATAATAATATGCGTAATAGAATAATGTATACTGTATATATTATATATATAATATATATAATATATATAATATTATATAATATATACTGTATTACATATTATATATTATTATGATTATTATTATTTATCATTATTTATTATTATTATAATTATATATCGTTATTATACTATTTTATATAGTATAGTCTATATGATTACAATATGTCATACGATTCAGAAATTTCAAACTTTTCCTCATCAATTAATGTCATGATCATCTGAACTTCTCTTTAATCATCTCTTATTCCCTTCTTTGCCATTCATCACTTGCTTAGTCACTATTGTATTAATTAAATGTAATGCCTGATTTCCTGCAGTCTGTCGCTTATCCTGCCGTTGGGCTGTACGATTAATGTTCGCGTAGACGATTATAGCTATTATGCTTGATGAATGATCAGAGATTTTAGAATAAGGGCGAAATACGTCTGATCTGCGGTAATATTTGGCGTTTTCTGTCGCATGTTTGGTATTTTGTGTAAATGTGATGTTTTTGGTTTAATACATCTGATATCGAGTTATTGATTACACATTATTATTACCCTCCAAATGTCGGAGCCTCGGCGTTAAAACTTGCCCTATTTGGCTTCGCTTGAATTCCTTCGTTAGGTCACGGAATTATCCATCATGTATAATATCATGATTTTTGTTTCGGTTCTCCGTCAACTAGGGAATTATTGTATGTCAACTTGCTTCTCCTTGCATAAAAAATCTATGCTTAACTTTACAGGCACTTTAACTTAATTCCATTCATTTCCGTTACTTTTCTGTTACTTTCTAGGTTTTCTTTTTTCTTTTCCCTTTAATATTTATCTTTGGAATTATAATTTATTTATTTCAAGTGTAACCATCATATAATTTATTTTTATCTATATACCTGATTATTTTATTATTATTATTATTATTATTAAAAAACGTGGCACTCTTGTCACCCCATCTATTCCAAGGTTAAATGAACTTCTTGCTCCTCTTAGCTTTTTATCTCATCATTGCTACGTATTATATTTTTTGACTTTTTTTTTGACTAATTTAGTTGTAACATCTCACTGAATTCATAATTTTGAATCCGTTGGTAACGGTTAAACGTTTCTATGCTGTGTTACACGAATTCAACTTGGTAATTAGTACAAAATTTATTCTTAATTAGTCATGTGTAACTTCATTGATTGAAAAAGTTATTCCGAATTTAAATGCACGCACAAATATTTATCGGATACTCAAGTTTCACTAATGACCAAAAAGATTGTTCAAAAAGCATTCTGAAGGTCAGTACAAAATTCATCACAAATAGAAAATGTTATTCTTATCTGTTAAATGTTCGTAGATAAACTTGTTCATCTTACCACAATTCATTGTATAAGGTTATACTATTATTACACATGATCTTCTTGTTTATACTCCCCACCGGATCACTGTATCCACAAAATTCACTCACATGAATAACATTGTGTCAACTCTATTATATCTGTATAAAAAATTGCTTTCATGTGTCATTTGCTTTTATGATGATGAAATTTAATTCTAAAAATATCCGTATTATCCCTCCCTGTTTGTAATTTTACTCTATTTTAAATGATATACATATAAAGTCTATTTATAATAAAATACATACTTATGTATTATACCAAGCAAAGTTAATTTTTTGGTTCTCATCATCCGGCTGGATGTTTTTTTAAAAAAAAAAATACTACTCATTTTTGAAAATTTTTTTTTTGAAATTTTTGAAATAATATTAAAAGCCGGGTGCCAGCTTTCTTTTTATATAAATTTTATTTGAGATCCAAAAAAAATTAACTTTATATGACTGGCATGGTAACTGTATAATAATATATATAATATATATATATAGTATATTTATTTATTTATTTATTAAAAAAATTATCTTTACGTATTAAAAACTTTTTTAATTTGTTAAGTTACTGATTTTTCTATTTTTATTAATCAAAAAATTTTATCTCTTATTGCTGTTTCTAAGTGATAACGTTTCAATTTTAAATAATATTCTAAAATTAGAAAAAAAACTTACACCGATACATTCTTTTTTTAAATGAATTTGGTTAGAAATCATGGATGTTAATTCACCAGTATACATACGTTATCGTAGGATTTTTACTTCACATTCTAAAATTAAAATTAGACTTTAGGATTATAATTAGGCCTGGGTTAAAGTTAAAAATTAGGGTTGTTTAGGATTTCACCTCTACGTAGTGAGCGTTAAAATCATCTTTTTTTAAATTATATACGCATTACTATTAAAATAGGGTATCAATTTTTATCACGTGACTATACGGCGCTGTTCGTGTTACGTTTCGCAATCTCCTGACCACATGTACACGTGTAACCCAAATTTACTTTTCACATGCTTAAATCGGTTCAAACCGGTTATGACATGAAAATAATCTATTCACAAGATTTCGATCTTAATTACTGTTATTGCTTGAAATTACCAGTTTAATAATCCTACTTTGAAGTTTTTAATTCCGAGTTGTTTATATACGTACATTAGGTTTTGGGTTTGGATACAAAATAAATTAGACAATTTTTTTTCCTAGTGCCCACAGGTGATCATCGCTCTATTGAATTAAACTTTGATGCCGCACAAAAAAACTGTTCTAGCGTTGCTAAACTAAAAAAAAATTTCATTGTTAGATTAAAGTCAGGTTTTGCTATTAAGTTAGGTTAGGAAGAGCTTCAATAATATCAAAATTTCGCAAGGAACGAAAACTTTTTGTTAGTGCGCAGAAGGTGATTTCGTAAAATGTTGAGTTATGCTCAATTTTTTGAATTGTTATGATTTTTTGTTTTTTTTCTGCATCACACCTGACCTTGAAATCTGATTGACCAATGAAATTTTTAGGTTGGTATAGGGATATAATATTACTGCAATTTTGCGTAATTTTATGTTAAGTTTCGTAAATCGATTGTTCATGTAATTTGTAATTTTGAACATGACCGACCAAATTTTCAGCGATATAGGTGTGCGACAGATGGCTGTGATCGATAAAATCTTGGCAAACATTATACATAATTTTGGCCGGAATGGTTTTTTAATTCCAAAAATGGGGGAGGTCTAAAGCGGGGTAACTCATATTTCTTAATTTTCTCGATTAATTTTATGGTTAGGGTCATCTTATATTGGGGTTAGGTTAGGTTTTAGGTAGTTCATATAAGCAAAATTGCCTTCCCAACATTTTTACTTAACCAACCTAAGGTATATTTAGACTGCCGTTCTTTGTATTTTTTAGGTCTTCATTTTTGTTTCTTGTTTTGCTTCGCCGGCGATCATCAAAATTCACGTGAATTTGCCCTCTTAGGCAGAAATTCGTCTGATTGGCTAATAAATTCAATTTAATTTTACATTATTTATACAGTTTAGAGTACTTTTTTAAAAAAAAACGAAAACCAACCATAAAAAAACTATATAGAAGATTTCATTAGAGCTGTAGGACTCCATAGTCAAAAATAAGATCTAATTCTCGTCCGTTTAAAAAAATTGGCTTAGTAATAAGTTAATTTTATCGGGTTTTAAGAATTTATTACTATACTAACTTTTTTAAACGGACGAGAGTTAGATTTTATTTTTTGCTATGGAGTCCTACAGCTTTAATTAAACATTCTATACAGCTTTTTTTCATTATGAGTAGTTTTCGTTTTTTTAAAAAGTACTTTAAACCGTATAAATAATGTAAAATTAAATTGAATTATTAGCCAATCAGACAAACTTCTGTCTATGAAATTTGCCCACTTTAGACGACCCCAAATTTGTTCAAATAAAATTTTATGTCCAAATTTATTCAGTTGCCAACATTGACAATGACTGTTTAATTATTATCTTATTTTCTTTTACTTCTTAAATTGTTATTTTTTATATTGTTTTTTATTTATATTTTTTTTAAAATATAGTTTTTTATAAAAAGATAATATTAGATTAATGCTATCTAAGTGTAAAGCAGCAAACAACAAGCTCTTTAAACACTTTGATGTCTAATATAACAAGTGCCATTTGGGTAACTAAAAAATGTAAACACTAAGTTATTAAAGTTATAAATTTGTACTAAATTTTTTAATAAACTTCAATAAAATGCTTAGTATAACTACTAAAATAAAAAAACTGGTAACATTAATTTTACTAATTAATATAATTAATTCATATTAAACAATTAAAAACTTAAAATTTTTTATTTAATAATGTATGTTTAAGAATTTGGTCTAATTTGTATAAACTTTAAAAGTTTAAAATAATTATTCTAAACTAGGTTTAAAAAAAGAACACTTATTTTAAAAATACAGATATATTAAAAATAAAAATTTTGCTACTAAAATAGCTTCTAAAACAGAACTACTACTAATTAAATTTTTTTTAATAAATAGTTTTAATAAAATCTTCAAATAAAATATAATATAAAAATTTTAATTTTTTTAAAAAACTGCTAATAACTCAACATTTTGTTTATGAAACTGCCTTTTGTGCACTAATAAAAAAAAATTTTGCAAAATTTTGATATAAAAAATATTTCTTTTGAGATGATCTCTAAAACAGACATAAATCATGTGACCGAGTTGGGGCTTGATTGATTTTTATAAATAGATTAAACCTCTAATTGGCTTTGTGCATATAGGCCAATAGACCCTAAATAAAGTCACTAAATTTTGTTTAAACCCATTAATTAATTTTTTTGATTAGTCTGACGAATTATTAGAACGATTGCTTTGATTTAATAAGGCACGATTCTGCAAGAAGGATTTAATAAATATCCATTAGATTATCTTAAAACCCATGAGATTATCGTTTAACTTACTAGCCTTGACCTACCGAGACTTAATTTTGGAGTACGGGATAGTTTTGCATATTGCCCCATATTGTCACGTGATTGGGAATCGTTTTAGACGATGGATATTTTTAGAGTTTGCGCCTGTCCAATGGTATACGCCCAATTTTATTAGTAATATAATTGGTCAATCTATGTCGATCTGTGAAAATTTGTCCTTTTTTGGCCACCGACCAAAACAACACAATTCAAAAATTTACGTGTTATGACATTCTCATCAATAAAAAGTCAATTTGAAACCAAACATCATGTTTATCTTCAAGATACGTGGCTACAACAACGTCTCCTTTGCCCTGAAAACACGAATCTCGACAACAAACAACTTTATCAAGCAATTTACAATGATTTCTTGGATTCTGACTTAAATAAATCCGTAAATCCACATCTTCCTCCATTAATTGAAGATATGCACAAAATTATCATTGGTGAACATCAGCCAATTATTCTTCAAATAGCTGACATATTTGAAGTTGGCGTTTCTGCACAATCACTTCTTGATGTAGTAAATAGCTACTTGTCAGGTTCTGTGAAACAGGGTCATAAATATAATGATATAAGTGATAAGCAATATGAGTCGATTAAGTTCCCGCGGGGTATGCTTAAGTTCCAATTAACTGATGGCTATCAATCGGTTGATGCTATAGAATACAAACCTCTTTCGAATCTGAATTTACTTACCCCAATTGGGATAAAGGTGTGCAAGAATAAAAATAACCATCATAATTGAGGTGTTTAAAAGAACCAATAAACATTTATCAATAAATCTTTACTTTGTAGATATCAGTCAGTAAAGCTTTAGTTTTACGAGGTGTCTTACTTCTTGGTCCTGAAAATGCAACCGTTCTTGGAGGGTTTACTGATGAACATAGGTCGATAAATGCAATTCGAATCCGTTTGTTGAAACAATTAAAGTATGAAACGAATGATCTCATTTAAGTTAATGCTTAATAAATGCTTAATATTATTCTAATAATAAATTGGCCATAATACAATTTATGATTATCTACTTTTAGTTTACCTATTCCAGATTGTTCTCAAGAAATTCAACCAAACCAAGAGCCTAACTCAACTAGTGAAGATCAAAAAACGCAACCAAATATTAATTATATCGATTTAGCTTCTAATTTCTTCGAGGATGATGATGATCTTTATGAGCAATTAGAGTACGATATGATTGTTCACATCTAATTTAATTCGGAAATTTATTAGACTATTAATATAATACATAATTATTTACTTAGCTTGTCTATCCCAGTGTGTTCTCAAGAAATTCAATCAAATCAAGAGCCTAAGCCAACAAGTGAAGATCAACAAACACAATCAAATATTAATCCTACCGACCTGGCTTCAGATTCCTTTTTCAATTGCGATAATGATGATCTTTATTTGCAGTTAGAGTACGATATGAATGTTCACATCTAATTTAATGTTTAATAATGCTTAATATTATTCTAATAATTAATTGGCCACTAATACAACATATGATTATCTACTTTTAGTTTACCTATTCCAGATTGTTCTCAAGAAATTCAACCAAGCCAAGAGCCTAACTCAACAAGTAAAGATCAAAAAACACAACCAAATATTAATTTTACCGAACTATCATCTGATTTCTTCATTAATTGTGATGATGATGATGATGACCTTTATATTATGGATATTTCACCTACTGAGAAAGCAGGTTTATCAATGCTATCGCAAGATACAGATGAGCTTCCTTCTGAAGATGAAGCTATTGCGACCTTCAGCAATAAAAATGAATACTAAAAAAGGGAACCTTGTTTTTACTAAGTAGCTTTATTTTTTTATACTAAGCACGTTAACAATTTATTGTTTACAGTTTAAAACTTAATTAGATTTTTAGGTGGAAAAGTTATATATACTAGCAATAATTTTTTTTTAAAAATATTAACGGTGACTAGCAATAATTGTTATATAATATATAATAGTATATTATATAAGCAATTAAAGATATTTTATAATATTAATTTTTATATATTAGTAAAAGGCAAAGATGATTTAATAACCTGTTGTATTGCAACTTTTATATAATTAGTTAATTATATTTAAAAATTAGTAATTATAAAAATTATTGGTAAGTAAATTATATTTTTTTAGTTTTTTGTTTTTTTTAATAAAATATTTTAATTGATATATTTTATAATTAGTTTAATTTGCTTATAATTTAAAAACTGGAAATTAATATAAGTTTGAAGTATAAGTATTATAAAATTTTAAAAATAAATTATTTTTTATTTTTATTATTTTTATTATTAAGATTAATATTTATAACAGTTATTGTTTTTATTATATTTTTAATTATATATGCATATAATTTATACAAGGTAAATATATAATTAATTATATATATAACTTTTGGTTGCTTATTTAAGTAAGTTTTTAAAGATTTTAATATAAAAAAGTTATATGTATAGTTAATTGTACACTTTTTTTAAAATGGTTTATAAAATTATATTACCAAAAAAGTTGTTAATTAAAGTTAAAAAACCAAAAAGGTTACTTTAATAATAATAATAATAAAGGTTTATATTAGTTATTACAAGAAAGAATTATATTATTATAAGTATTTTTTAAAAATTTATAAAGTTAAATAAATAAAATATAAAGTTAAAAATAAAATTATAAATTTATTAAATCTATATTTTTAAATAAAAAAATTATAAAATTTTATATAATATTTTTTTTTTTTAACAATCTTATCTAAATTATTTTTGCTCCTATATTCTCAAACTAATGTTCTTAAATGTTTCTGATCACTGAACCTCAACTTCTCTTAGTCTGTATTTTTAAATTTTCTAAAAGCAATTTATTGCAATAACTTCTGCTAAAATTGGAAAATTTCATCAAGCTCAATCTAAAACTGACTGCTGTTATAAGTTTATATAGTATCTCTTATTGTTAGACTTTTGGCCTTACATTATATCTCATAACTTCAGTTATTCTAAATTAAGCTTTAACTTATATTTATCATCATGTAGTTTCTTAACTGCAGGTCACTTGTTATTTCTAGAAATAAGTACAACTATTGAATACTTGAGTTCTTGATTCTGCAGTGTTGCAGTTTTCAATTTTTGAAAATACATTTCTATAATTGCCATCATTAGGATTTGAACTAGTAATTTTGTAATTCATAATCTCAAAGTATAATTACTATGCTATCAGCCCTAGAAGTAGTAGTATTTTTTTTTTTTTTTAGTATTAAGGTAATCTTTTTGGTCTTTTGACTTTTATTAATTACTTATAAGTATTGTAGTTCAATAAACTATTACAAAAATTTATATAATTGGTTACACATATAACTTTTCTATATCACCTATTTAAGAAGTCTGCCTGAAGGTTCTTTACTAATTGTTGTATCTAATATCTCTACTTGAGTGTTTCACTTTAAACTCTCTGAACCTGTAATCTGTATTAATTTACTGGGTTATATCTAGATGCCCAGATTATAATCTCAACCTTAAAACTAATTTATTCTTGAGATAAACCTTTTAGAGTCTTCTGTACTTATTATTATAGTAAACCTAGGTATTACTATAACAGAACCAACATTTGCAATTAAAACTTAATCATTAAACTGCTATGCTCTTATAAAGTTCAATTAGACTCTAGCATCTACTTCATAGTATAATCTTAGTACTTTAGTATATTCTAAATTTCATCAGACTCCTAATCCAAATGGCTTATATAGGACTATAACTAGTCTATTAAGATATTAGATCAGCTTAATATTCTTTTTCTCTAATTCATTCTGGCAGCCTGGTTGATAGTACCTTTGAGACTTCCAACCTGAAGGTTCTTGCCTGTTTAGTTACTAAGATCTGAGTATCTATTTTTTCATGTTAGTCTTTATAGTAATGTTATCAAAGATCCTGCTACCTCTCTACTCAGGTCTTTTCAAATAGACTTCTTGTTACCCAATTATAATGACTTTATATAGTTACAAAGACTTATCTAGTATTTGTACCATCTGATTTGTTAGTTTGCATTCCTTTGTATAACTTCAATATTGCATAGATGCCTTATGACCTGCCAGTTATGCTGGTATAACTACTATTACAGATATTCTAACCTAATTATTAATAATACTTATATAATACAAATATATATTACATAAGTGATTATCTAAATTTTTACTATCGATGAGATTTGAATATTCAACTTACTACTTGGGAGATTGAAAACCTGTTCATTTCACTAGATCATCATACCTTATAATATTTTTTAAGTTAATTAAAATTATATAATTTTATACTAAAATAAAATTAGTAATTTTTAATATTTAGTTATTACAATTACTATTTTAAAAGTTTTTTTGTTAAATAAACTAAATATAATTATTAAGTAAAATTTGTTCAATATATCAAAATATACTTAATATTAAATTTTTTAAAAAATTTTTTTTTTTAAAAAATGTTAAGATGAGTACTTGCAATTTAGAATTTTATTAATAGTATATTTGGCTAATAAATGCTTTACAACTACAAGGAGCAACTATGAAAAGAGTGTACAATTAATCACTTGTATAACTTTAGTTATTGTTTAATTTAAGTAATCTGCCCAAAGGTTCTATACTAGTTGTCATACTTGAAACCTGCTTGTAGGTTCTTTATTTAATCACTCTAGTTTCTGTATCCATCTATCTATTTCTGTCTACTAATGATCCTAGCTAATGCTAATAAAAATATATTATGACTACTAAGTCTTTAAAGCAGTTCACTTATATAAGGAACCTTTAACCTTGTACTAAACCTTCCAGAATCTTCTGTATTCCATTCTTATAGCTGACTCAGTATTGTTATGGCTAAGACTAATACTGGCAGTCAGGACATATCATTAAACTGCTATGCCTTTGTAGAGTTCATCCCAATTCTGATACTAACTTCACAATATATTTCTACTACTTTGGTATTCAATTTAAGTTCCATCAAGCTCTCAAACCAGATAGCCCAGAAAGGCAGATCATAACCATACACTTCTGGTTTATATATTTGCTGACATATAACTTCCTTTGAAATAGATTCTAGTGACCTGGTTGGTTTTATTCAGCTCCTTCTTAAAGGCCAGCTCTTTGCCTAGTGTCACAAGTTCTAGCTTTATTTTATAGATTTAGTCTTTACAGTAGCATTATCAAAAGTTTAGATTATCTTTTTATTTGGGTCTTCCAAGTGGGCTTCTTTCTTACTTTATTTGGTTCCTATGATTTATATGGCCACAAGAACTTATTGTAAGTTTGCACTGCCCAGTACCAGTTTCTATTTCTTTGTATAACTACAAACCTTGTCCTAAAGGACAATGTCATGTAACTGTTATACAAATGCTATGTGATCTGCCAGTC